AAGAAAATGTTGTAGATGAAGAGTTAGTGTGGCATAATTTTGAATTTTCAGGAAATAGATTATGTAAACTTTGGAATAGAGATGATATATATGGTAAACCCATAACAGTACACTATGTCGATCAAATTAGTCAACCATTTGGTAATATTGTATCCCCAACATGGGAATAGATTAAGCATTATGCCCAGTTATATTGATATTTATTGGATTTAAAAAAATGTAAGAATCATTAATGTTGTCATAAATACAGAGCTCCTGATGCAGCACTTTTACTGGACCAAAATGAAGGATTTCTTCCTCCAATCGCCAAAGGAAAAAATAGACATTTTATCGATCCAATACATGCCCTCCAATACTTTGACAAATTAAAGATTCTGCCATATGATAGTTCATGCCCATCAATTTCGAAGGAAACATATCATCGATTATGTTGTAGCAAGTGTGGTAAATATTTTCTTACCTTAAGGTTCATTACATATCACAAGCATCAGCAACATCTATCCAAATATGGTCAACCTCGAAAGCAAGTTGATAAGATATCACTAGCTGCTGCCTCATCAAACTTTAGAGTTGCTAAAAATATAGTTGACTGTAATTTGTCAGATGATGAGATTTTGAATTTGCGTGATATACAATCTGATAATGGAATGGGAATTAATAGATGTTAGAATCCATAATTAATATTAGTTTATCTAATTAGAACCATTAAGTGTAGTTTTTAAACATATAAAAAAAAATAAATAAGCCTGTTGGCTAACGAACTACATAACCTTTGACTTTATGATCTGTAACTTTGTGCGAGTATGTTCGTATATATATTTTTTATCTGACCAATAAAATTTTATACTACTGTACGATCCGTAATCCGTCTTTGCTCGGTGGCTATTAATATATATTATATATATAGACGTGATCACTAGTGGACCCCATGTATCCATGGTAAAAATCAGGTGATAAATAGCATGCTCCTAAACAAACAAGTAAATAAACAAACACATATTACAAATATAGATGTTACTATTATTAGAACATATTCTAGAAGAATCAAATAGAATTTGTATCAACAGCAATAACACAGGTATTGAAAAGAAAAATAAGAAGATAAAATTGATTAAAGACTTTGCTTTAAGACCTCAATCAGAACTACAAGAGATTTATAAAGAGCATAGCCTACTTACACTAAAATAGATAAAAATATAGCAAAATATTTGGAGTATAAGAACCCTGAATTTATTATAGTATTGCAAAGATCAATAAATAGTTACAAGTAGACAGAAGTTAAAAAAGATCAGAGCAAGAAGCTTTTAATTGAAGAATATATTCTATTAGAGCATGTAATAGAAATTTTAACTTGTATAAAACAAGCTATACAAAAAGAATTACAATTAATATAGTAAAAAATTACAAAAAAAAGAGAGATACAGAAGATATCATAGAAGATATTGCCTATAAAAAAATTAAAGAATCTGTAAAAATTCGATTAGCAGAAATAAATCTAAATAAAAGTAAAATAAAAATTCTAAAAGAAGACAATTTAAAAGATACAGAAGAGAAAGCAACTCTTCTATACACAAAGTGTAAATAGGCAAACTATGGTACCAAAGTAGCAAAAGAATAAATATCACTAGTCAAAAGAAAAAAAGAGTTTTATAAAAAATCTGAAGAAAGTCAGAATATAAAAGTAAAAGAAGAAGAAGATATTTATAGCTTGATCTGGGCACCAGCATATAAATATAATCAGAAGAATCTAGCAACAAAGAATAAACAAGAAATTGGCAAAAATAAAACAAAGCTTATACTATACTTTACTATGTGAGATCTACCCAACTTAGCATATGTGACAAAAATTAAAAGATGTTTAAATTACTTTGGCAGAGCAGAGGTCTTAAAATAGCAAAGTTTAGAAAAAACTAAAGCGGTTTATATAAAGATTTTATGCAAAAATGAAGAAAAAAAAAAATTTTGCTTGATGCATAGGCAATACACTTTGATGAAAAAAATCTAAGCAGAATTACTACAGAGAGGTTTACTGCTAAAGATCTAAAAACTAGAAAGAATTTAGATTAATCTTAAAAAATATTCTATATATAGCAGCTAAAGCTATACTCTTATAACAGTTTAAGCATTTTAAAGCTAAAATAGTCTTTATATTAAAGAATAAAAATAAAAACCAGAGAAAAAACTTCTTGGTATACTTTGTATTATTAGAAGACCTTCTAGCCACAAAAGCAAAAACTCCATACTATTTTAATACCAGATTAGAGTAGAAAAACAACAGAGTATACAATTTAAACAAAGGCTTTAATAAAGAAAATCAAAACAAGATAGAATCAAAAAACAAATAGAAATATAACAAATACAGAACAACAAGATAGAAATAATAAATATCATGGAAGTAAAAAAAGTTTAGTTAGTAGTATGATTAGAAGTAGGCAAAGTAACAGAGAAAATAGTAGATCAAGATCAAGTAGCATAGCTAGAATCTTTTTAAAAAGAAGTAAAACCAATAATAAAGATAGGCAGAAGTATACAAAAAACAAAGTTACAATTAGCTCAAATAGGATTATACTTGAAAAAAAAAAAAAAAGCAAAATAAATATAGAAAAGAGAAGGAAATTAAAAAAATCTTAATAGTGATGCAAAAGAAATTTAAAACAATTGAGCTTATATTTGTGAATCACTTTTAAAATTTACACCAGTTGAATTAAAAAGTTAGGGCAAAGCAAATCCTTTCACGTTTGTCTCAAAAGAGCCTAGCATATCAGATTTAAGTAAGAATAAAACAGAAGAGAAAAGATTTAATTTATTAAAAATAGGCTTTTAAAATATGAATAAGATTAAGCAAAATAAGCAGAAGTTACTTGTATTAGCAGAATAGAGCAAAAAAGAAGAATTAGATATAATTGGTATTGCAAAAACAAATATTAAAGAGATAGAAGAAAAATAGTTAATAACAGAGTATTAAGAGTATACTAGTTTTTGGTCACTGAAAGAAGCAGATAAATATAAAGAGTCAGGAGTTGGCATTTTAGTAAATAAAGCATGTTCAAAACATATTAAAAGGGTAGTTAAATTTAGTCTATATGTTTTGAAAATAGAGTTTTTCTTTAAAAAAGTTATTATTCAAGTCTGGGTAGTATACTTACTACCTATAGACAAAAAAGTTAACAAAAATGCTTAATAAACAATAATTAGAGAAATTTGTAGACAAACCTAGATACAAATAACAAAAATCACAAAATTAGAGGCTTGGCAAGACACTTCTTAAGTGGCTTAGAAATAGAGATTTTTTAAATATTTATCGATATAAAAATCCTTATAAAAAATATATATATAGCAAAGAAAAAACCTCATATCAAGAATTGACTATATATAGCTTAGTGAAGAAATAGCTGAGTCAATCATTGAAGCATTAATAAAAGATACTAGTATACTTACCTGCAGTGATTATAAATTAGCATAGACAAGTATAGATACTAGCACTTTCCTTAATTATAGAAAGCTTAAGAAAAAAAAAAAAGTTAAACTTACATAAAAAATTTTTTTATATTATAAAGCTACAAAAAAAAATTAGAATGCTTATAGTAAAGCTATTGAACAGTTTTTATAAACCAAGGAAAATAAGAGAAATTTTTAACCCACTAAAGCTGATATAAATGAAGAATAAGATTATATCGATATATAACACATAATCATTTTATATCAATTAAAATTAAACGTTACATATCGATTTAACTTGATATACAGTCTAACCTCTATAGTCACCTCCTATATAAGCACATTTTCTTTATAAGCATGTTTTTTTTAAAAACACACTTGTTAAATATAATAAATTTGACCTCTATAACTGTCACACTTCTTTACAATCACACATTTTGGTATCCCAAGTGTGTGATTATAAAGAGGTTTAACTGTATATCAAAATCAATTAATAACAAACAGGTAAGTAATCGATGTAGATCAAATTATCGATTATCATCGAACTAATCAAAATCGCAATATATCGATAATTAGCAATATTGGATATACACTTTAAATATTAGATACGTATACGCTTTAAATATTAGAACAAAAACTGTTTCTTAAATATTCATTTGTTTTTTCAAATCTTGCAACTATAAGTACGGTTCTATCTATACTATCTATAGATATACAACTGTATTGTATAATTAATTTTAATTTAGAATATCCCTATAATTCACCAACTTCATCATACCAACGAACAAGAGCGAGTTCTAACGGATCTTTGTTTATTGCATAGTAAAACTTGAGTATCAACAGAATCTTATAAATGATATTTTTTATATGCATTAGTATATATTATTCACGAAGTTTGAGAATATTTCCTAACTTCATCACTTATAGTCATTATTATCATTATCGTTATTTATTGTTAAAAAGCATTAGTATATATGTAAATCAAATAAAATGAAACTGATACTTACTAAGCCATACCAATTTAATTCATTTCTTTGATCATCAGGTACACTTACTGCAACATTAGAAAACATTGGTTTTTCATGAAAATTTGATGTAGCACAAATTATATTAGTACTTTCTAAAGATGCGGAAGAAAATATTTCTATATGATTATCTTCATCAAGAGACACAGTTAACACCATTTCGAAAAAATCATCAAGACCAGTTAGTAGGTTTTAAAAGCCTTCGGCTTGTAATGGGTCTAAATTATTTTTATTTTTCTGAAGGAAATCTTCTAGTTCTTCTGACCTTAACGTTAAAGTTTTCCAAACCCTTTCATTCAGCGATATTTTTTAGAAACTTCTTTTTTGGTGAGTTTTTTCTGTTTACTCTAATAATAATCAATTATTAGTGATACTTAGAGATTATCTGCTAAGCAATGTTGGCATTGGATATATGTCTAATGCCAATGCTGATTTACTATATTTAAAATATACTTTATTCCATGGGTACTATGTAACAACCTGTACTTTTTTGACAAGGTTATTTTCATCGGTCGATATGAAAATCACATGATTTTCATATAGACTAATATGAATAACCTTGTCATAAATTATATGCTAAAAATGACTTTTATTCGGGTTTGGGTTTTTTAATTTGTTATGTAT